GCTGTCCCCAGACACTGTCCCCAGACCCACTCGCTGTCCCCAGACACTGTCCCCAGACCCACTCGCTGTCCCCCATCCCCCAGACCACCTTGCTGTCCCCACTGTCTCCCAGACCCACTCGCTGTCCCCAGACGCTGTCCCCAGACCCACTCACTGTCCCCACGTCCCCCAGACCCCCTTGCTGTCCCCAGACACTGTCCCCAGACCCACTCGCTGTCCCCACTGTCCCCCAGATCCACTCGCTGTGCCCACTGTCCCCCAGACCCACTCGCTGTCCCCACTGTCCCCCAGACCCACTTGCTGTCCCCACATCCCCCAGACCCACTCACTATCCCCACTGTCCCCCAGACCCACACACTGCCCCCCAAATGCGTACTCTGCCCCCAGGCGCACATACACCCCCCCAACAGTGGATGCAGACCCCCCTCTCCAGGACACAACCCACCTGAGCACCCTGGCCCCGCCTGGCCCAGGGCACCATTTCCCAGCTGCAATGAAACAAGGGGCGGATGCCCCTCCATCTCTGTGGGCCCCGGGAGGGCCGAGGCAGGCAGGGGCACTGGGATTGATGGACAGGGGACACACCAGGGAGGGATGGGACAGATGCCCACCCCCAGGCAGTCTTCACAGGCTCTCAGGGAGCACCCTAAAGTCCCGCACCCCACACCTAGCTGACCCCACAGCCTCTGCACTGGCTATCCTCACCTGGTGCACCTTCCCCACACCCCCTCCTTGTGCCCCCCCCCCCGGGACTCCAACGCCCTTTTCAGGGTGGCCTGCTCTGGCCGCACCATCCACCGCACTGAGCGCTCCTCTGTTCCTGGTCTGTCAGGGGTTTGTCCTGAATCAGCCTCCGCCTCTCCCCACTCCCTAGGGGCTCAGTGGGCCCTGACCTGCGGACCGCAAGCTCCCTCTGCGAGGGGCTGGACCAGGCACCGCCATGTGGTGGGGTCCCATATGCCAGGGCCCAGCAAGGGCCGCAGAGCCATCCAGCGGTCTCAGGCCTCTCCAGCTGGTGAGGCCTGCCCCCTGCAGCCATAGACACAGGTGGGAGTGAGGGTGTGCAGGAAACACCTGGCCAGCTCACCAGGGCCGGCTCCATCCCCAGCGAGCCCTGCAAAGCCCCAGAAATTTCTAGCCTGGAAGGAATTCTCTGGCAGGGGGGTGGGTGGGCATCAGGCTAACTACAATGGGACTGGCTGTGGGGGGAGGGCGGCTCGCCAGGAGCCACCAACCTGCTGAGCCCCCACCCCCAGAGGAGCTAAGTGGCCTGGTGGGGGTGCTCAAAGGGCCCTGGCCAGAGGGCAGGGAGGGGAGGCAGGTCCAGCCTGGCAGGGTGGGGCAGGTGGGCACTCTCTGGGAGACGGGACCTGTGGTATTTCCCCAGGGTGAGAGAAGCCCTGCACAGGGCGGGGAGCTGGGAAGGCCCAGACACAGGGGCCCCGGGGCCAGCATCCTCCCTAAAAGGCGAGCCCTGGGGGGAAGGCAGGGACGCCTCCAGGAGAGGGCACAGGTGACGACCACCACAGGGCTGCCATGAGGGGCAATGCCAAGCAGCTCAGGCACACTCACACAAGTGCACACGCACACAGGTGCACACACACACGCACACACACGTGCACAAGCACACAGGTGCATACGCACACACACACGTGCACAAGCACACAGGAGCACACGCGCACACAGGCTCCTGGTCGCCAGCCTGCCCAGGGCGGCCCCCAGGGGCAGGACCCATGGGATCTGCGGTGGAACTGGTAGGGCCCGCAGGACAGGTGGTTGCCCCAGAAACCGGGCTGTTCCGGGCGCGGCCAAGGGACAGCCTGACCCACCAAGCAAGCCAGCTGGCTGGAGTGTCCAGGCTGCCCGCTGCCCAGCCGTGGCACCAGGAGAATCGGCGGGCTGGGGGGCCCTCCAGGCCTGTTCTCTTCCCTGGAGGCCCTCACGTGCACCTTTAGCGGACCCCCAGCTCAGGGCTCCTCCTCCCGGCCACCTCCAGGGCACACACGGGGGCACAGAGCGTCACCCTGACGGTGCCACTGCCC